ATTAAGATAATTACATTATAGCTAATCTTACTCGTTTTCACAAAATGCAAGAATTAGGTCCCCCGTTTCCAGACTAATTAGAGAATTTTTACGTTTAGTCAAACGAACTATTTTCAACGTTTCTGGAACGTTTACAATCGTTCTATAATCGAACCAATTCGAATTTTATGTTTGAATTTAATTCGAACAAATTCGAAAAAATCGAACAAAACATTCGAAATAGAAAGCCACTTTCAGCCTCATATCTCCCACACTCTTATAGCTATCGAGACGCAACCACACCTATGCACGAATGGAGACTTGGGGCTACCACCACATACAAACACCATTCACGTGCGATGTGTAGTTTTGGCGAAAAAGTGAAATATAGGGACATACATGTCCATTTTTATATATATAATATAGATTATCACAAATTTGGTAATTTAAATATGTTAATATGAATAAAAACATATAAAATTACTTGTTGAATTAATAAATATTAGCAGCAATAAATAAATATTAAAATTAATAATTTTGTAATGATACTAACTTTAATTTTGCATTATTTATAACTCGATATTTTTAAAACTGATATAAAATAATGTTGTGTTTTATAATCATGAATGGTTATAAAACATCAACATCATAAATATATTAAATGTGAAAAATGCTCATTTAAATTAGAAAATTGTTATATAGATGTAAGCTTTATAAGCAACAAAAAATTATGATTTATTAATTAAAGTTTATTTATTTTAATTAAACTATTTGAATTAGTTTTTTTGTAAAATAGAATAGTTTTATATAAAAAATAAAAAAATAATAATTTTTTTCTTGTTTGTTTCAGTGATGGAAATTCGTCACATACTTCATATTATTCGATGTGGTTTAATGCTGATATACGTTGTTCTTAACAATTTATATACTATCCCTTCCTATCTTTTATGGTGTTGGCTGTTCCTGTTTCCAATTAGAGTGGTACATCCGAATTTTTATTGGTACTTAGAAGGTAAACTTTTGAAATGGATGCTGTGTTCAGTAGCATCATGGAGTTGGTGGGCTAAATATTATAGTAAGTTTAATTCTTATATACTTTATATTATAAAAATTAAATTTTTTTGGATTAAAATATGATACAGGCTGACCATGTTAATTTTTTGAACACCGTATGTTTTGAAACCTTCATATAAAGTATTCATTGTCAATAGCTCTTAATTTTAGATTGGTTTAAGACCATTATCATGAACTAAAGAAAACTTCAAAATTTTAATCTGGATTCAAATTATATAAAAATTGCTGAAATGAACTTTTAAATATTTAAATATTTCACTATAATAAAATATTTCATATAATTTATGAACTAAAGAATTGAAATAGTGCAATTATACAAATAAGGTTATTGTAAACATTCTTTAAGGGCTAACTTTTGTTAAATTAGTAATGTGTTATAAATACACTTTCTTGCAAATTAAAGGAAATGTGTAAATGAATTTGCGCAACTGTCTTTATTTTAACACTAGCTGTACCCGGCCACGCGTTGCTACGGCTCAAAATGTATCTACTATAAATGTATAACACTCCCCGCGGGAGGGAATTTTGAAAAATCTCTTTTTAGTGTACATTCTCTTGACGTACCCTATTAAAACACAATCAAAAGTGCAAAAAACCGCACATAGAATAGTATAATAGAAACTGAGTTCTTCACGGTAAGCCTTAATCCTGTCTGTTTCCCCTACATGGAGGGAATTTCGACATCTATATAATATGAAAATGCGCATATTTGAATGCAACATTGTGTCAAAATTTGAAAGCAAGCAGTGAAGAACTTTCAGAGATTTAAGATTTTGAAAAAACAAACATTAAATTTTTATTTATATAGATTAATTCCTCTTTAAACATCAAATTTACCTTTAAAAATAATTCTAAAATTTTTCTGATTGAAATTTATGTGGTAGTATCCCTGCTCTTATTGTGCAGTTGGATTGTGAGAAAATGTCGTTAAGAGAGTGCATCTCCAGTAAGTTTAATGTCTTGAACCGAAGTTTTGTTCTCAGAAATGTCTCTTGAACTATATGTCAATAGACTACAAAAAAAAATATGGAATTGTAAATAAGATTTATTTAATTTTTAAACTTTTATAGCTAAATATTTCATAATTTTCCAGGTGAAAATATTTGTTTAAGAAAAAATAAGACACACTAGTACAAAGTTAAAATTGTGTGTGGCACCATCTGTTATGAGATTTCATTAAAAAATAACTTTTTTTTATTATAAACTCACGTGGGGACAGAATTTCAAACTGTATATTATATAAAAACATGCCCATATTCAAACGGAATGTTGTGTGAAAATTTCAAAGGAATCAGTGAAGAACTTTCGGAGATTAGCTATTAGGAACAAACTAACATTACATTTTTATGTACAGTACATAGATAAATCACTTATTTGACATAAACGGTACAGAAACATGAGAGAGACTACTACTATAAATTGCATATTTTCTTTGCCATTACTAATCAAGGGTGGTTATTATTTCCTTTGCACATACCCATTTGATATCTGTTACTAATGTAGTATTTAAATATTTATTTATGAAAATTTTGATTTAAAAAAAAATTAATTATACACTTGAAATGGGAACTAGTATCCTTATACTGAATGTTACTTTCTATATAACAGTAATAATGCCAGTGTGAAATGAAATAACTTGCAGATATGTGTACAGCGTNTTTCAACATCGGATACGTTAAACTATTTTTTCGTACATAAATCGGTTATCCGAAATATCAGTTATACGAACAACCCCAGTCCCCAATTGATTCGGAAAATCGACGCTCTACTGTACTTCATAATGTTTAGCAGTTTAGGTACTAATAAAATTATATATGCTAATGAAATGCAAACCAGTAATATATAGTTTATTCTGATCATTTTACTGGTCAAGGTAGTTTGAATATACACAAGAAATTGTACTATCTTTTAGCATTAAATTTATTTGTTTGATGAATTAAATACTGTACAAGTACTTTCAACATTTCAAAATGACTTCCTCAGGCAAAAAAAGAATATATAAAATACATTTCAGAAAACATTTTCACTCTCTTTATATTAACTAGACAATAGAACAGTGATTCTCTACCTTTATTTTGTTGTGGAACACTTTTAATAATTTAAAATTTTGGCGGCACACATGGTTACTTCAGTAAGTACTGCAGGACAACAGGTGACGTCATAACAGTGATTTTTAAACGCAGTTGATTATTTAGGTCACATTTTCTAAATTCCTTGGTAACTAATGGCAGTTACCGGTAACACCAGTTACGATTTCCAGGAAGATAGAACTGATTAAACTACTTATCTGACGTTTCTTATGTGTGGATGTTCGCAGTGGCGGCACACTTCAAAAACCTTGCAGCACAGTGGTTGAGAATCACTGCAGTAGAAGAAGCAATCAGTGCCACCTGAAAATTTCGTAAAACTAGCCAAAATTTAATATATTATTACTGACATGAAAACAAAAATTAATTTCTAAGTTCAGCTATTCTTATAGACCTGGGGAAATCTGTGGTCTTTTATGGCTTCTAGCGCATCCTGATAAAATATAAAATAGTCAAATTTGTGGCAGCAAAATTAAATTTATTTTTTATGAAAATATATTTTTGGATATCTTCCTCAGTAGACATGTAAGTATAGTTTATATGCATTATTGGTGCATGTTTGCCAAATGCCACTTATGTGTACATTATGCATCCATTTTGAGTTCATTCTGAAATAGGAACTGGCCTTCTGACTAAAAACGTCTCCATATTTGTTATAGATAGTGTTACGGTAAGTGTAGTTATTATTAAATAAAAATTAAAAAGTTCTAAGTTAGTCCAACAATAGTTAATTAAATACTGAATCTAGCAAGTTGTATGTTCTTGAGAACAAAGCAATTAAAACACACTGCATTTTTATACACTTGTTTTTTATTTCTTCTGTCACTACATATACATTTTGGTCTTTCAGCATATATTTGAAACATATAATACCTATGTTGGAGAAGAAGCAGTTCTGAATATGAGTTATAACATTTTTTATACATTAATAAAACTTACCGGTAACATCTACAAAACAAAATTCTGACCAATACAATATGTTTTAAATAAGTTTTACTCTGTATATATAACTTACAAAATTATGTATTAATGTATATAAAATATTAATATTACAAAATTCATTTGTCTTATTATATTGTATTAGAACAAATATGTTATATTTTGTAAATTTAAGAATAAGAGCTTGATTATTCTTTTCTAAATAAATTTTAAAAAATAATAATAGCATGATGAATTTGAATTAGATACTTATTATACATACAGAATTTATAGTTGATGATAAATAGTTCTCAAATTTAATTCTTAAAATAATAATCTTTTGAGAAGTTAAAGCATGTTTGATTATTCATAAATATTTTTATAAACTACATGTGACTCCACTTCAGTAAAAATTAAATCCTGTAGATTCTAAAATACATTTAATTTTCTTTAAGAAGTTTTAAAAATTCTTAATTGTGTTATTTTTTAGCTATATTAAAATTGTTGAATTAGTAGATTAGAAAAAGAGTTTATGAAATTTTAAAATAGCATACTTTCATATTCATCATTAAACTTTTTAAATTTAAAATTAATTTTTATTTACCTGATCTTGCCAAGATGTAAGTCATAATAATTATTAAATAAAATATGTATTCTGATGGTAATATGTGTGTTGTATATCAGTATACAGGGTGTATCAGAATGACGTTTTAAAAATTTGGGGGATTGTAGAGGATGAAATTTTGAACATTTTGATATAAGGAATCCATAACTGGAAATGTGATATAAAGTTTCTACAGCAGTAGGAAGTGCTTGACCGCCCTTCACTTTGGTAGCTACCCTTCTGTCCATTGACGTCATGTTATTGTTCTTGACTTCTTCCTCTGAGGTTATGTAAAGTCACTTGTGTACGCAACACCTGTAGGAACAGTTTATGAGTTTACGGAGGGAATCTTTACAGCATTTAATAACATCAGAAGGAAGCGTGGCCTCTTACAGAGAGTTGGACAAAACATGGTTAGTCGTTGCACGTTATGTAACGAAGTTGGTGGTCGTCACATTGAACATTTACTCTAAAGTAGTGCAGCCACTGATTCCTTGTACAGTTTGATTGTACTCTACTGTTTTGTCAATAAAACTTGTCATAAATACTGTATTTTGCTGTTTCATTCAGCATACTGACTGCAAAGTGCTGTAGAAACTTTATACAGTGGTACATCAGGATATGAAATTAATCCATTCCGAAACTGAGATCGTATCATGAAAATGTCATAAGGTGAATCATTTTTTCCCATACGATTACATGTAAAACCAAATAATTTGTTCCAACACGAAAAACACACTCAAATTAAAACTAAGTAGTACATTGAAAAAAAAAAATTATAGTAAGGAAAACACTGAAAAATGCGTTTTGTATTTGTAAATGTATAAATAACCATAATAGAATAATAATTGATTAAAAAAATGTAGTTTTTATATGCACTTTACCTTTGAGGATAGACGACGGTGGAGGTGTAAACTGTGGCGGAAGAGAGGGAGGAGGGAAATGATACTAAAGCTTAGCTTACATAACATAATGTAACAATAACTTAAAAATAACTTAGAAAAGATTTTTAAAAATTAGTGTTATTTTATTTTTTAATTTTTAATCACTGCTTTTTGCTTTCTTTCCTTCACTTCCACCAGCACTTTCACTGGATAGAGGTCGCTTGGTAAAATATCCATCCAAAGCAGTTTTGCTTTGCCTACTTTTTAAAATTTTTCTAAAAATGACTTAGGCAAATGTCATTACTCTGAGCAGCAATATGGTCAGTGTGAACCTTTTCGGGATGTTTCTTTTCAATAAAATCAGTCACTTTCTAATAATACCTCACAATTTCCTTTATCGAGCGAGATCCTTCCACAATGAAGCAAACAGGTGGACTGAGACCAACGAACAGAAGTGAATAAAAAATGGCGCTGCAAACTAATGTAATGTTATATGGTGAGTTTTGTT